ATATTCATCGCCCTGATGACGGAGGCAGTATGACCTCTGAAACGTTGGTTAACATCGACCAGACTACACAGCGCAATAACCCAGAAGACAGAAATCTTCATATTCACCGCTGTGAGAACCTCAAGTCTTACATAGATGAACATTCATTGCTCTGATGACGGAGGCAGTATGACCTCCGAAACGTTAGTAAACATCTACCATACTACATGGTGCAACAACCCAGAAGACAGAAATCTTCAGAACTAGACTGGATTATAAGGAATCTTGTTTTATAGTATCTGTTACAAGCCTCAGTAGCCCTAATACTGAAAATGATGATGATGAATGAGTATTATATCCATGCTATGAAAGGAGTATGTATTCACAATATGTATCCATATTAGAAAGCTTGTAAATTACTTACTTTTCTTATTTCCTGAATTATTAACAACAAATATCATGCAAGAAGATAGTAGGCTAGAAGCAGAGGAATGTCAAGTTTCAGTTGGCAAGGCATGGCTAAAGGAAGCCCATGGGCTAAGTTCCTGGGGCAGCAAATGCAGTTCCGTGGGTAGCTAGCTCTGGTCTAAAGCATAATGGTGGAAGCCCAGTATGCAAAGGTATGGATTTTGAAAACCTGGGGGAGGAAAAGCCCCTGGAGCAGTGATCCTAGTGCAGGCTTAGGCCCAGGTTTGTAAAGTTGTGCTGGTGTCAACCCTTGTTTGTAGCAAGATTGGCAGGAAAATTTCTAGGGTTTTCCCAAGCAGATGCAGGATCCAGAGGTGACCTACCCCTTGTGTGGTCAAGCTTATGGTAGGCACTCTTAGCAGTAGTGTTGGAAGTCCTGTGCCCACTGACGGCAAAATAGATTTTGAAAGCCTGGGTGGGCTAGGCAGAGAAGAAGCATGTTAGGGTAAACACCAGGGAACAAGAATGTTAGGGAAAGGCCTGGTGTTAAGTCTCATACATTAAAAATTTGCCTTGAAGCAGCAATGAGGGGTATTTCCTGGGGACATACCCAGGTGGGCATGGTCCCGAGGTGGCCATGCCCCTTTGGG